AGGAAGGAAGGAAGGAAGGAAGGAGGAGGAAGGTAGGAAAGAAAGAAAGAAGGAGGGAGGGAGGAAGGAAGGAGAAAGAAAGAAAAAAAGGAAAGAAAGAAGGGAGGGAGGGAAGGAAGGAAGAAACTTAAACATAAAAATAAATAAATAAAATAAAGGTATTGTGTTCAACTACAATTTAAAAATAAATACTAAAAATAAAAATTTAAAAAAGATAACTTCTCTTGGGATGTACATGAAGCTTCAAGTAGAAATGATCATATTCACGTACAAGAATCAGTTTATTATTTGTCATATGCCTGAAGTGATACAAATGCTCACATGCTTAACCTTCACATCACTTCTATAAGGTAGTTCTGTAGATCTGACACCCTCTCCCATTTTAGTGGTCCATGTGAAGCCCAGAGAGGTTAACTGAAGTGACCAGGGTCACACAGCCATGAACTGGCAGATTTGGGATTTGAACCCAGGTGGTCTAACACCTAGAGTCTGTTCTCTTAACCACCATGCTTCATCACTAACACCAGCTAGCACCCTCAAAGTCACCCTATGCTCTTAAGAAAATTCTGGCATTGCTCTGGTGGAGAGGGGGCTCCTGGGTGTTGGGGATTAGGCATGGTCTGAGGTGCTCACCTGCCAGTTGCACTTGGTTTGTGCCCAGATTCGATGCAAGCCCAAGGTGTCCCTGGGACCTAGCTTGGAATTGGTGGCTCCCTCCGCAAGCCCCCAATATGATCCATGCCAGGGCCAGTTGCATGGTGCAGGCCAGGTCACTGGGCTGGATGTGGCTCCTGCAGGCCATGTCCACCTGAGAGAAGAATCAGTTGAGGTGAAGGGGTGAGTTTGGCCATCACCTTCTAGGACCTCAGAGTGGCACCCTCAGATGCACACCCAGGAAGCAGTGCCAGGCAGCATGGGGGATGGGCAGCTATTCAGGAGGCTGGGTAAAGATCGAGGAAGGACCCTTAAATAATGAGAGGGGCTGGTGGGGGTCAGGTCCTGTCTCTGACCCAGAAGTCCCTTCCATCAGACCCATACCCTTTGCATCCCTCCAAGGCCAAGTGCCACCTCCCCACCAGCTTAAAATGCATCCAGCATATCTGCCATCCTGTTGACCCTCAGCCACCCCCACTTTCCTCCGAGGCAAGAGGACACCCCCAGCCCTTCCAGCCCTCTCCTGCCCAGTCATTCTTCCTTCTCTTCTGTTCAGCCTCCTCCTGCCCTTCCGCTGACCCCTCTCACGGTCACCTTCCCTAGGCTCACAATCAGCTTAGGTGCTGCTGCCCAGGGCCGGTCTTCGGCACCAAGCTTATCTGTGGCAAGGCTGGGGTTCTGCCGCTAGAGTCCCCAAACTCCAAGGCAGGGAAAGCTTAGGGCAAGTGGACACAAGTCTAGTCCCTTCCTGTCTCCCTGCCACCCTGCCCCTCACCTGTTAGCAGCAAGACTGGGATCTAGGAGTTGCTGAGACACCTCAGGATCAAGTCCAGGAAACAGTGACTGCTGAAAGGGGCGTGGCCTGCACAGGGGCAGGACCTCCCACAGTCCCGCCCCCACTTTCGCTGAAAGCCCTGAACCAGACGAATGTATGCATGTACCCGTGCTCTGCCCTTATTTGAGTTTGTGACATAAGCTCTGTATCTATATGTTTGGGACAGTGTCTGTGTGTGAGAGAGATGAGAGTGCGTTTGTGCGGACTGTGTATGTTCAGTGCACCTGTAAGCCTCAATTGTGTGTATGTGCGTGGGTGCGTATTTGTGTGTCTCGTGGTTGAGCGCGTGTGTGTGTGTGTTCAGAATCTGGGTAAGGAGGTTTGTGTATATCCCAAGTCAAGCATGTGCCATTGAGGATAAGCGTCCTAGCAAATGTGGGAGAAAGAATGTAGAGGGGTGTAGAGGGAGGTGTCCTTGGGAAAGTGTTGTGGGTAAATTAGTGGAGAAAGGTTGCCGACCATGAACTTTGGTCATACATGAACAAGGCAATGTTGTCATACTGAACAGAGTGTGTGTCTGTATCTGAAAATGTGTGTGTGTGCTTGTGTGTGCTTGTGTATGCTCCTGCAGTTTCTGTAAATGTGCATTCCTTGGGAACATTCTCTTAATTCACTCATTTATTCATTTATTTATTTTGCTGGTGCTGGAGATGAACCCAGGGTGACCTACCCCTGAGCTACATCCCCAACACTTAAAAATTTTTTTCAGTGCTGAGAATTCAACTCATGCCCTCACACATGCTAGGCAAGTGCTCTATTGCTGAGCTACATTCCCAGCCCTTAAATCTCAATAAAATCTTGAGACAGGGTCTTGCTAAGTTGCTGAGGCTGACCTCAAATGTGATTCTTATGTCTCAACCTCCTGAGGAGCTGGGATGCAGGTTTGCACCATTGCACCCAATGACAAACCTTTATTGAGCACTTACTGTGTGCTACGTCCTGGGGATGCAGCAGTGAACACAAAATGAAAATCTCAGCCTTCCTAGAGTTAACATCTTAATGGGAGAGTCAGACAGGGAATATAGCCCTGTAATGTGCATGCACACGTGTGTGTGTGTATGTATGTGTGTGTTATGTTAGGAGAATAATGTGTCTGTCTGTTGGATGAGAGTTTGTGCACTGGGTATCCCTTAGTTTTGGAATTGTGCGAGTGTACTTGAATGTGTTGCTTGCATTTGATGAGTGTGTGTATATCTGTTTCCCAAGAATGTTTGTATGTTTGCAGAGTGTGAGTTTATGTGTGTATGTTTGTGTGCATCTGTGTCTGCTGAGTGAATGTTTGCAAATGTGTACATATGTTTTTTTAAATGTTTATTTTTTAGTTTTAGGTGGACACAATATCTTTATTTTATTTTTATGTGGTGCTGAGGATTGAACCCAGTGCTTCACGCATGCCAGGCGAATGTGCTACCACTTGAGCCACATCCCAAGCCCATATATGTTTTTTTATATGAGTCTGTGTTAACTGAGTATGTGTTTCTGTGTATGCAGAATGTGTAGGTCTGTGTTTGTGGTGTATGTGTGCAGAGTGCATAGAAATACGCACTTGTGTGTGTGTGTGTGTGTGTGTGTGTGAGTGCTGAGAATATTTATAGGTGTGTTATGTGTTTGCAGAGTATATTCACATGTGTCTGTATTAGCTGAGTGTGTTTGTAGTATGTGCATGTGTGTCTATGTGTGTTGTGTGTGGGTCTGTTTTGTTGGGTGTGTGTTTGTATGTTTGTACTCCTGTGTGTTTGCAGGGTGCATGTGTGTATTTCTGTGAGCAATGACCACAGTTACAAATCTGTCTCCCTCTCACCTCAGAGTAAGGCAGGGTTTTTTCATCTATATTCCCAGATTCAAAAATACTGTCTGACACACAGTAGGTTTTCAACACTCAAGTGTTGAGTAGAGTGTCAGTAGACACCACGAGTCTCATTTGATGATGTCCTGGAGGCCTCATCAACAAGACCTGCAGGACCTAGCCTTCCCTGGCTAGTTTCAAGGTGGACGGAGCTATTTGTGGGCCAGATCTATCCACTCTTTGGACTGTGCCTCCTGCCAGACCCTCCACACCCCTTCCTCTTCCCTGACCCCAGTTCCCCACTCTGAGCTCGGATTTCAGCACCGCGGACAGGAATGCGCATGAGACCAGCACCACGGAGAGCTCCTGCAGACGCGGACGTGAGCAGAGTCCAGGCCACAGACAAAGACAGATGCAAGCAAGGAACTCGAACTCGGAGAGATGGCTGCACAAACATGCCGACGAACCGAGAGGTAGAGACAAATAATGCAGGTCAAAGCTCGGAGATGAGGAGACAAGCTCTGGGGAAACACCCAGACCCAGACTTCGCTGTCATCCCCGTTGTCCGGCAGGGGTCGCTCTCGCCCGAAGGCCGTGCCCTCCAGGACCTTGGGACCAGTTACAGGTTGACATTCTCCAGTCTGTGCCCACTGCCAAAACTTGGAGTGGGGAGGATTTAGACACTCTCCTCTCCAGCCCCAGTAAGCATGGCCTGTTTGGCCTCAGCTGTGTGGACACCAGGGGACGGGAGTGAAAATCTCCTCAACAGCCCCCCTCCCCAAGTACTAGATAATCGCTCTTATAAATATAGCCCGACCTGGCCTGACTCCTTAATCCTGACCGTGAGGGAAGGGACGCTAGAGACACCGCAGGGTCCATGAGGAAGGTCTGCCTGGGAGAGGCGGGGAAAGGGGGTATAGATGCCCCTTTTTTTGTGGGGACATCTCCCGCAAGGATGAGTCTCCTTAGTGAAAATGTCACTCTGTAAGAATGTATTTCTTGGATGTGAATGTCTTGGATGTGAGTATCTCATGGATAGGGACAATTTCCCATAGAGAATATGGCTTTCAGGGGGCTCTCATTGGGGATATCCTCCCCAGAGTTCTCACATGATGTCACCCATGGGATCCTCTTCGGGAAGGGATGCGCTTTGAGATGAAGCATCACCTTTCAGACAACAGCTCTCTTAGGATTGATTTTCAGGGTGAGGGACTGTTCTTGATTGGCGAGGGCATCCCCGCAGACACTAACTCCCCGTGGGAATGTCTCCCCGAGGGAATCTCGGGGGGCGGGGGATGTCCGCAGAGGAAATACATCTCAGAGAGAATGCCTCCCTTGGGGTGTTCCCTGCATGAGAATGTCTCTCTCTTGGGGTGTCTCTATGGGGGTCTCTCGGTAGCAAGGCTCCCTTGGGGACATCTGGAGGCTCCACCTCCCCCTCCGCCCCTTCCTCCTCCCAACGCGGGCAGCGGTGGCCGAGGCCAGGCTCGGGCGCCC